CGCGGGCAGCGGAGCCCCCGCCGAGGGCAGCGGGGCCCGGCTGTGCCTGCGCGGCGGCAGCGGCGGGCGGGCGGCCGTGGCCACGAATGCCAGGTGAACAGCCGCACTCCGCTATTTTTAGCAGAGTAAAATGCAGCAGAAGAGGAGAAGCTGAGTTTCTCACAGTATCGCGTTCTGGGAGACTCGGAGCTCTGGGAGTCACCGAACTCCAGGCGACGGGCGACAAGCCCCGGGCGATCCTTGCACGTGCCGATCGCTCCGGCGATTCGTGCCCACACGTGGCGAACTCGCTTAATGTTTCTTTTGAATGGCCGGCAAGGAGCAGGCAGCCTGTACCTCAGCAATTACATGAGCATGAAACAGCCCCAGCTCATCGCTGGCAGTGCCAACAGGAATTCATTTGGATGCATGAAGTGGTATTTTGAGAGAAAAATAAATGAAAACTTAGGAAACAAAACATGTTTCCACTGTAGTACTGATTGAGGCACAAAGCCTACGRCGTGTGCTCAGTTATGGCAAAATTCAAAAGCAAAAGGAGCAGCAGTGGAGGTGCGTTGCCAGCCACAGCGTCGGTTCTGTAGCCCAACGAGAGAAGCCAAAGACACATTAACATCTTGTGCTCCATCTGCGGCATCAGAAAGCTGTAATCATATGAGAGCCTGTGTGCTGAGCCACAGGGAGGGAAGGAGAAAAGAATGAACAGCTTCTTCATGTTTGAACAATAATATAATGTAAACAAACGGAGTGAGCATGTGAAAAAGCTTGTATTTCATAAAGCACTAAACCATCCTCTCTGGCAGGGCTTATATTGCTGCCCTCTGCTGCTGAGAAGTYGGGCGGTTCATCTGCCTAACGAGCAGAAAAACGGGCTACTTGCGATAAAAATCTCAGATTACACRTAACAGCTCTGTGGCCAAGAGCCTCGAGACACACAGTTCAGGAGCGAAGAAAGGGTGAGTTCCCCCATTCTGCGAGAGGCAAGGGACGGCAGCTCTCTSATGCCGGGCGGGTTGGCAGTGTTCTCTGGATGCAGCAGCCGGAGGAGCCTTCATGGCCTCACCTCTGCCCATAGCCAGCAAGGTGATCTGCCATCCATGTGCTAACAAAGTCTTAGCTGCAGTAGCTCTGTATTTATATTGTTCCCAAACCATCAGAAATCACTCTTCCCTCATCAACAGTGGAAAAGGTCACAGGAAGTTTTGTCAGAACTTCATAGTAAGGAGTGCACTTTTATAGCTGGTTCTGACCTCGAAGCTCCGCCTGCCCGCAGTGCATACAATTTGTGGTACAATTTGGGGTGACTATGAACTTTTAGGTTGTCACTGAGAGAGCAACTGAATGCTGTAATCTCAGTGTTTTTGTAGACAAGCCTTTCCTCTAACTTGGAAAATAATTTACTTACTAGCTTGGCTTTGACAGACTATTTAATGAAGGAAGTTCATATAGACAGTGTGTAAAATTGAATCTATGCCTATGCAACTAATCTTGCACATGGTAATTCAGAGCTGATTATCTSTCAATGACCTTTGGAATAGAGTGAAGAAATGGATACATACCAAAAGGGTTGCATTCCAAAGGAATGTGTCGAGAATAGGTAGATGACAAAGAATATAAAATCTTGTCAATTTGCCTTGGGAAGACATACCTAAAACAGTTACGACGGTGAGTATATGAACTACTGTTACTGACAGCGACTAATTCCTTAGAAATCCACCCCCTAGGAAGTTACTTTGCATACCTAGACGTTTCAAATCCCTTGTATCAGAAAGCTTGGTGGTGGGGGACAATGCATCAGTGTATCTAAAAATTGCTTGTATTAAGTTCCTCTTCTRCATTTCCCCATGTGGAGGCTTTCATGGCTCTGATTTTACTACCTCAAACAGCTTGTACATGCTGAGTTAGAAAAATCCCTACACACAAGCTAACAGCAGGCATTAAGTAAATGAGCATTCAGTGCATTACCCAAAYAATACAAAGCTGCCCACAAACCACACCTAAATGACAAAGGAGAAGTCAGAGTGACTGCAAGCAGTGTGGAATGGTGGAGGGGCTTCTGAAAAGGAAAGAACAGCAGCCCTAGCTCTCTTTCTTTGGAAGAAAGTATTTTTAGAAGCAGCTGGCCCAGCCTATAAACCAAACCACAAGTATTTAGTCAGTGAATATACAGCATTTTCAGCCATTTCCTGTGATGAGCAGAATGCCCAAGAGACTGGGTGGAAAGCACCAAATGCTGCAAAAGTAACAATGGTGTTGGCATGGTTTACTACACAGAACGGCCTGCCTGATGTCTGTAGGGTATTGGAGAACCACTTACAATGCTGCAGGGTAACTGCTCTCTCTTATTAGTGTAACACACCCATTTATTCATGCTCATAACCGATGACAAACAGGTATTACAAGGTATTAGGATGTTTTCCTTTATGCTTGCTTGGGTACAGCAATGTAAAATTGTTTTTCAAATAATGAGTCACATGGCAGTTAGGGTGGGAGGGACAGCATTTGTTGGCAGAGTAGCATTTCTGTGCAGCATACCAGTGACATGTATTTAGCATGAGAGGTTTCAATATTGGGGCTTCTCAGCATTTTGTGTGCTGTTTTATAGCTATTAGATGTTGCACAAAGCTTTTGTGGGTGGTGATGGGAATTGCTACAGAAAACTCTCTCCTCAGTCAGTGAGCAATAAAGAACCATAAATTCTAAATGCTGATGCCAAAGCAGCATATCCACAGGACCACTAGATCAAGGACCACACTGGCACACCAGGCTAACTTCCTGTCTTGTATTCACCCAGAGACCACATGGACTTAACGCAGCATTCCACATTCTCCCTGCTGCACATGTTGGATTCTACCTTTTGTCTAATTTGGCTCCACACCTGGGCATGGACAGACTACCTCCACAGGGAAGTGAGACTTTGTGCTACAGGATCAGCTCTGGAACCCTGTCACTTTAAGAGTACAGCAATTTTTTTTGTTGCATTAAATTTGGCATAAAAATCACACCCCTTGCATCTCAACTGGCCTCAGGTGTCAGAGGGGCTGGGAGAGGCCGGGCTTATTCTGAGTGATAGTCACTTCAACACTAAGGAACAGAAAYGCAGGGCCACTGAAACACTGTAATTCCAATTATGTTAAATAAGAACTACCACATTTTCAAATTCACAAATAATGTTATACACTGTAAGTTTGGAAACACCCAATGACCTCTCAAGGCTGACCTAGAAGTTCAGCCCTGTTCACTTATTCTCACAGCCAGCTGCCACATGCTGTAGTTTATTGAGGAACAAACATATGGGAAGGATCATATTGGATTGCCTGGGATAACCACACAGTCTGCCAAACGCACATGTGAATATCTAGAACATGAGCAGTACAGCCAGTGATAAATACATTAAATTGTGAGATGAGTATATAGTGATAAAGCTACAATCACAAACACATCTCTGCTCTCTGAATTTCCTGAAGAAGCACTTGGTGTAAAAAAGTGTTTGAGTCTTACCCAGTAGGCACCCCTGTGGGGGAGAAGATAAGTACAGCCCATCAGGTGTATCCCAGGATACAAAGGTGGAATCTCCTCTGAACTCCTTCCACACTTAAGCACATTTACATCATTTTCTTTTAGGGAGGGGAAAAGGTAAAGAATGGTTGAGWTAGTCTCAGGTTTAGGTGGAGTTTAAGTGACTTCAGACAGTACGTAGGGGTATGGAAAGTATTTTCAAGTTAATGAAGCCAGTTCAGCTTTTGTTCACCATTTGGGCCATCCTTAGTTTCTGTGAGCTGCAGTGTTTTCAACAGAGCATGACCACAACATCCATGTGTCACCCCATGCTTTGTTTCATGTCCCCCTCACAGCATACACCAAGCTCCCTCAGTGCTCTTGCTCCTAAGCTGTGCAGTTTGGCCCTGGTGAACTACAGCCAACACATGCACTCCTTGCTGAACTTCATTTTTCAGTATTCTCTCCACACACCCTTGGCCCCAAAACTGCCCTGTAGTCAGGCATTTACTATAAACCTGAGTTCCAACTCATGGGCAAACTTGGATACTTTAATACTCCAAGGACACTAGAAATTTAAGCACAGATTCTACAAGATAGATTACAAAATTATGTGGTTTGGGGAATTTTTTTTAGTGTCAATATGCCTTCATGTGAAGAAAAGTGAYAGCTGGTGCCCCTTTTTCATTTGCTTTAAAAATTTGAATTTCCTTTTGAACTGGAAGTTAGCAAATATCCCCGAAGCTTGCAGTCAAGTGAAATTTGCACAATGTTAATAGTGTTAACAACATACATTAAATCAACTGCTGTAAACCAAGCCCTTTACATCCATAGACCCTTCTGAGAATAGGAGCCTTCAGCATGTAAGATATTTAAATGTGGATATACTACTCCCAGTATCACACCCAGAACTGCAGTTAGGAATTGCAATTAGGAACAGAGGAAATTCACTTTTTCTACTACACAAAATACTGCCAAAATAGCTTCTGCAATTGACAGAAGCAAACCTATCCATGAATTAATGTGGAAGCAAGGTAAGCAGACAAAAACCTACATAAATTCACTCAATTCAGAGAGCGTTAAGCCACTATAAACAACCTGAGGCACTGCTCCATTTATTTATAGGCAAAACAGACTGTGGGTATCATAGGACCAGGATTCTTGGTGTAAACTTCACTTGCTTGAACCACACCRTATTATCTGGAACATACACACTGAAGGAACAGTTGCTACTGATGACACTGGAGTCCTCCATCRCTATCAAAACATTCACAGACAACATTCATCCTTCATGTTGATACC